TGAAACTCGTTTTTCTTTCATTCTTGCGCGCTCTGTGTCGACCCCTGCGGTAAATAAAATATATACACATATATACCGGACTAACCAGAAAAAATAGAAACTAATTAACATGATCGGAATTAATTGGATTCCTTATTCGGTTAGCATAATGTCAACATCACGCCAAGCCTATGAGAAAGGATTCCTCCCTCCTGACGATGTTTAGGTGGTCAGCCTCATACTGTTTGACGACAATTCGATCTCTGCGACATCTCGACCGATGGTTCCCGTCGGCCCGAAGGAACAAGTTCAATGTCCTTTTTTTCTTGTTTATATGTCGCGTGTCCACGCGTTCCAACATATTTTATATTTGTACTGTCGCTTTCTTCCATAGTTTTACCATAGTGATCGAAATATGGTGTACGGGCCACCAAACATGATTTCCAAAATCCCGTGAAATCTCTATAGGCGTACAGTTTCTTTTCCTTTCCTGATCTTGACAAGTGTTTATCCCACACTTTTAAGGGAAATTCAAAAAAGACATGTAACGCGTTACCCAAGGCCAAATATAATTAAACATATCCCAATCTCTCTATCCTTTTCTTTCGCACAATTTTTCCAAAAGGTCATACAAACATCCGCGACATAGCCTTACTTTTTCCTTTCCTTTCCTTTCCCTGTATGTTTATTCCGCCATTAGAGATTCGTCCAGTTAGTTGTACGTTTTACAAACACGCTACGTTGGCACACTCGTAGAATTTTTTCTTTTTTTTTCTTTTCTTTTTTTTTTTCTTTTCTTTTTTTTTTTGGATCAAGTCATGAAGCGTTACAAGTCCCGTACCTTCTCTCTTTCTTTTTATTATTTTATTATATTTTTTTGTTGTTTTTGGTATTTTGACGTTTTTTTTTTGTTTGTTTGTTTGTTGTGTGTGTAATTCTAGCGTCACTCGATCCCCGCGATAAAACGGTCCGTTCACGGTAAGCGCGTGTCACGGTGAATAGTATAGTTGGTGTAAATTTGGTGATAGTGTCGTCTCCCAGTCCTATCCCCCTTTCCATTCAATTTTTTTTGGTTCCATGCGGTTTGTCGCACTCTATTATGCCCGGTGGTTCAACATAATCTTTCCTTTCCCGTCTGGTACAAACATTTTAGCGTTTCGACGGTAAATAACGACGAACTCCGTTTCTTTGTAGCAGTAGTAGTAGTAGTATTTTTTTTATTTGCTTGCTTGTTTTTAAAACCCTCTTTTACGCCGACGACTGCGTGCATTTATTTATTACCGTACTCGATCGCCGAGCCGTTTTACCGTTTTGCGCAGTTAGTGATTTGTGGTTGTTGGTCGAAGAAGAATTGGTCGAACGAGCCTTCAGTCGCTCCCGCGACGCTGCATAGCAATTGCGTTGCTCAGCCGTACGGTCTCGGCTCAATATGGCTGGGAGAATTGCCCCCCGGCTTGTGACTGTCCGGATTGATAGAAACCACTTCGATCACCCTGATACGTTGAATCCTGTGACAACAGACCGTCCATCTGTGACTGGAACTCTCCAACGGCAAAAGAATCTTGCGAGAGTTCCGCCTGACTTAAGCCAGGCTGAGAAAGACTGAAACCTGGCTGAGACATGCCCTGTGTAGTGCCCTGAGTCAATGGCAGTCCTGGTTGACTATATGGCTGGGTGTTCTGTTCTGTTTGACTCAATTTACCCATTCGTGGACCCTGTTTGTTCTTCGATAAGGCAGTTCCTCTACGATTACGTTGGTTCTGTCTAGCCTGCAGAGCCTGTTGGTGTTGATTGTAGAACCGTGGAGGCACGTGTGCCATGTTCATAAACATTCCCACAGGAACTGGTACGTTATTCATTGCTGCTTGAGCTCTTTCTGGACTAATGTAGCTAATGGTATCATGAGTTCTGCTAAAAATGTCCAAAGGCACGTTCCGCTGATAGTAAGGGTTATGATTCTGTGTTCCATTCACCTGAGTACCTGAACGATCATACACTGAACCTGGTATAAGAGCCTCTCTTGCATCATACATGGATGTAGACATGAAATGCGAACCTGGATTGGCAGCGTTCACCAGTTTCTTTGGTTTGGCGAATTGAATCATGGATTCTTTTAAATTATTCAATGGCCCTTCTACCAGAACTTTCTGCTCTTTGTAGAAACTTAATAAATGGTTCCATAATGGTTGTTTTGATAATACTTTTGGATTTCCAACAATAATAATTCCGTATTTGGCGCGGGTTAACGCAACGTTTAATCGTCTTGGGTCGTTCAGGAACCCAATACCTTGGTGCTCATTGGATCTAACGCAAGACATGATTATTATGTCCTTCTCCCTGCCTTGGAACGCATCCACGCTGGCTACTTCAATCTCTTGATACAATTTTGAGTGCAGTGACCCTTGGTACTGCATATATTGTACTAAGTAAGCTCTCTGACCTTCGTAGGGGGTAATTACACCAATCTGTTCAGGTTTCACCCCACAGCGCAGAAATCTTGTCGCTATCTTTTCAACATTTGACGCCTCTGTTCGGTTTAAATAAGATGTACCACTTCCAGCTATCTCTTCTTGTCCCTGAGTCACATAGAAGAACATAGGTTTGTCAGGAGCTGGCCAGGGGAAGTCGATCTTCAGCAATTTTCTTTCATCGGCGCAAACACCGTTCTGTAGAGAGCCTTCGTAGAAAAAGTTCGACGGGAAACGCGACAAATCTGGATGCATACGGTACTGCACTTCCAATCTGAAAGGTCTGATTCCAAGTACAACTAATCTTTCAAAAAGGGACTGTGATAAACCTGCTCTGGCGGCCTTCTTGCACATAACCACTGGTCCTAATTGACAGTGATCACCCACCAAGATCAATTGCTTGGCACCAAGAACGACTGGTACCATGCATTCTGGTTCAGTCGCCTGCATACTCTCGTCAATGAGAATCGAATGAAATTTTAGTCTGTGTAACCTTGGATCACCAGCTCCCACACACGTACAGCAAATCACGTCAGCTGCTTCCAATAACTCTTTCTCTGCAGCCTTCTTTAATAATCTGTAACGTTTTTCGTCAACACTGGACAATTCTCCAGTTTCATCTTTTAATTGTTGCAATTTCTGTAACTCTGTATTCGTCTCCATATTCTTAATCTGATTGTGAAGAGCCAGGAAGCTTACTGGAGAATCTATTGCTTCTCGTGATTTTGCACAAAGTCGTACAACTTTTAAGTTAGACTTGTGTATCTTTTCCGTGAGTTGGTCCACAGCCGTGTTGGACGGGGCGCACACTAGTACAGGACCACCATTTTGTTTGACAAGTTGGTAAACTATCGTGGCGCTAGTCACGGTTTTCCCTGTACCGGGTGGTCCTTGGATCAAGGACAGAGGTCTCTGTACAGCATGTTTTACGGCATACACTTGGGACCGATTTAAATCCGGCAAATTCGGTGCACTAAAGTGCTTGGGGAGGTGGCAACGAAAAAGGACTTCCTCTACCTCGTGTCCCAACAGTCTATGGTATATGTAACCGGATACAGAGGTGTCGTCCACGGCAAATTTTCGCAAAGCTAATTGCATGCTATAGTAGGAAAAGATGGTGCATTAAGAACACATTTTTTTAAATATTTAAGGGATTAATTGATTCTTACATATTACTCACCGATCGAAGCTTGTGCTTTTCCAAATAAAATCAACGACAAAATTACTGACACATTCTGTTGGAGCGCCAGAATTATTCTTCAACTCGATCCCCACTTCCTCTCCGTAATTGTCGGGAATCTTTATCACATGACCGATTCCAGACCAAGGCTTATGAAGTTCACCCAAATAACGAAGTCTCAGTTCGTCACCGTGCATCAGTTTCATGTCGCCGTCCGTTTTCGCCAGCATAAAGTATGCGATTGTTTTTTTGTTCAGGCCAACGTCCCAACGCACTTCGATATTCTCTTGCGTTTGAGATTCCTTTAAACGTTTATCATAATCGGCTTCTAATTTAACGAGAGGACCAAATATATTCTGGTATTGGTATCCATCTTCGTACCGCAAAAGCACTTGTTGCGGTTCTTCATCTACTCCAGGCTTTTCGAGGTCTTGGAAAGTAGCGTCAACGTTGTCTCGCCATAATTCTTCCAACTTATTGATCTGTTGCGCAGAGATCTGTCTTGCTCGTAGCTGTTCCTGTTCTGACGGGATTTTTACTAGCCACGCTAAAAAGGAGCGATCTTCAATCAATGGCTTCCATTGTTCTTGATCCCTATAAAATTTGAGGAATATTTAAAATGATAGAATAATTCATTGTATTTTGTAAAAAATATTTTTAAAAAATATAGCTAAAAGATTTCTTAAGAAATATTTACCAATTCATATCCTTCAAGGAACTTTGAGCTGCACATGGCTGGCGGCAGAGTAACACAACAACAGAATCTGCTTTTGCAGGAATGAAACCAAGAACAAAAACATTCCTAACAGCACACGAATAACATTCAAGAACAGTCTCTCCCAAAGGACCATCTCTGCAATATAAGTGGATTATGGAGCCAAAATAAAAAACACAATTTCAAGCAGCAACTGAAAAAGAATTTAGTACCTGTGTAAAGTGACTTCCTTATGTTTGGCTCGAACAAGATGGTTGATAATATGGGAACCAGATGTGTTTCCACGTCCATTACAAAACCATTTGCGGCAGACATTGCACATAACAACACATGATGCTTCATGAATACCACAATATTTACATGCATGTTCTGGTAAATCACGATTGTAGTAAGCTTCCTCTTCTTCTTCCTCAAATTGTAATTCAGCAAGGCTTTGTGCTGCTCCAGATATCTTCAAGTCCAATGATGAGCTGCCGCTTGTTCCATTAACCTAGATGTATATCATACATGTAAAGAAATTTGTGCAAAATATATTTTGTATCTTATTTACAAAGTTCAACTCTGTTTATGTATTACTCAATGCACCTACTTTTTCCAAGATCACAGACAAGATTATACTGTTTTTCTCAGTTTATGATATTGACTTCTAAAAAGTACCGATGACAAATCAACTGTAATATGGACACAACCTTGCACAACAATGTGAAACAACGTTATCCATATAAAACTCACCTAACCTCCAATTCTCAGAAAACTACTACTCACGTTCCCAAAAATTGATTTAAATAAACGGGTATCACGTTTACGATATACCATACACTATAAAAATCATATTTACAAGAATACTGTTTGATCTGTTCAGCGCGAAATGAAAAAAAGCAAAGGTCAGAAAATCAAGGTAAGGCGTGGACGTGTGACCGACGTGCATTAGAATTACTATAGAAGTAGCCATAAAACCAGCGAGGTTAGGCGGTATCCGCGTGCTTGCAAAAACTCCTGTAGCACAAACATACAGGATCGAGGAATGAAAATAGGTTAGAGGTCGAAATAAGGGAACATATGACGAATCCATAAAACCAACCTGTACAGACTGGCTAGGTTGACTTTGTACAGCATCGTGTTGCGAGGCCTGAGTTTGACTCGGCGAAGGTAATGTGAAATCCGTGAAGTCGAATTCACTACCCTGCGTATCTGCGCCAATTAAATCCGTCTCCTCCGTATCAAGGAACGTGAGGGTCTGACTGCTAGGCCCATACGCATCGACGCTCATTCTGTTACGATACTCGACGTCCTTTTCGTGCCCTGTAAGAGATACTGGCTTCGGCTGGTAAAGCGGCGAATCACCAAAAAAAGTCGGTCGAGATAAAACGGCCGGGATACACAAAACGCTCGTGGAATTATCGTTTGGTCAAATGTATAGGAAAAACGTAGCACACTAATAGAATGAGAACTCGACACTTGGACAAAAGAGGCCAGAGAATCCTACGCCATACTTCGTCTCGCGCAAGTCTCGCGCCCACCAACACCGACACAAGTACACAACTAAATTTTCTTCTTGCGCTCGTCGTGTGTTACGTCATCAGCTGATTTCCAAGTGTGCCCCGAGAGATCGGGACTGAGGGCTTGGGGATTCCGGCGATTTTCCACTCGAACACAATTGCGATTGGATCCTTCGTGTCGATTCCACTTCGAAATCTTTTATCGGTTAAACGGCTGATAAGCGGTGAATTTTGATGCATCTCAATAGATGGCGACATAACTACAGTTCAGTATTCTATATTAGCGGGAAAAAATGCGTGGAACCTGAACATTTATTACTTCTATGTTTCTTGACATTCTTATATGCATTTGGTAGAAGAATAAACTGTTTAATTATAGTCATTTGTACTAATTAGTTCTACATCTAATCCTTATTAGTCCTGTAGGAATTTCTTGCTTAATCGCAGGTTCCTAAAAATAGCATTAAAAATATCATCCCTTAGATGTCACCCTAGTGTTCAAAAATATTGTCCAATTAAATGGCTATTATTTCTAGTAATACGTGACTCATTCATTACATGAGTTTCTCTTCATGCGTTATATGATTAACGGTATAGTTTTTTATGTATTTTAAAAATGTAACAGTTATTCGATGAACCAGATTCTATTATTAGAATAAATTATTTTAGGAAGGTTAAATTTTTTCTTTGATTAATCAGGATCTTGGTAAATATTTAAATCATGGGAAAACTGTTACGTGTTTTTCTAGGTTGTTTATTGTCGATTTTTTTTTTTATATTTACGTACATACATGAACGTAATAATAATCTAAACCATATAGCCTACGATAAAAATAATAAATACAAAATTTAATATATACAAAACACTTGCTGCTCTGAGTCCTATCGATCTCTATGTTCTTTAGCAGCAATTCATAGACCTTTGTTACCTTCATTCGTTACATTAAATTACTTTATAATATTTATATACCGAATTTTTATTATATCTCTTAAAATAATAGTATTTTAATACATACACCGTATAATATACACAAATGGATCTCGATTCGCTTCTGAAAGTCGTACAAGCTTTTTTCACTTTTCGCACAGAAGTCAATCACAATGAACTATACGAAAAGGAAAATAGACGTTGTATAAGCTTTCAAGTTTATTCGATGTATAAGAAACAGTTTTAATTTTTTAATGCGATATATGAAAAAGTATTTATGAGATCAGTCTTATTGACGGTACGATTATCGATCGATTCGAGAGGTAGGTACCCGTTACTGTATTCATTGTCTTCGAATGCCTAACCTCCAACCTGGCTGAATATCGATTGATATTCAAATCGATAATGACCATTAATTAAAAAATTGATCGATCAATGCTCAACACCAATGAGAGTCAAATACACGTTTCAAAATAAGAGACGGCTCTTCTTCTCAATTATTGAAAGAAAAAAATCTTTACAAAAAAATATTACAGTCTTCACTAACATAAAAAATACTA